TTTTTTTTATTTTTAAGTATAAAGCTATTAGTCAGAATTTATATAATACATGGGTGTTTTAATACTTCTAGTAGCTTATTGGTTCTCATATCACCACATAATTTGAAAATTTAAAAAGTCAATTTCTTTTACTTATTGTAAATTTGTAATCAGATTTTCTTTTATTTATTCCTAAATATCATTCAAAAATAAGAATGTTCATAGATCTACTTATTAGAATTTTTTTTCAAATTCATTCACTAGGGGTTCTTGTGGCTCTCTTTACTAGCACTTTTTGTACCTTTTTATTTTTTATTTTATTTAAAATAATTTTTCACTTTCTTATCTTCTTTTTATTTTCAACCACCTTTGAAAGCAACTTAAAAATATTGTACCATGCTTCTATCATTACACATGGACTAATGAGGAAAAAAAAAAAGAAAAAAAAAAATCTTTTCATGATATGGTAAAAAGGTGAAAACAACAGGCTGTGATTTGGATATCAATGGCCAATTTTATTTTTTTATTTTATTTTATTTTTTTTTTTTAATGAAAAAATGGTGGTAAAAAATAATTTGAGATGGCAATTGACCATGTATAAACATTGACCCTGCATAAAAATCAGTGAAAAAAAATTATCCAAATATTTACTGAAAAAAAATTATAAGGTAGAAAAATTTCTACCAATCAAGAATTAATAGAAGTATTTTTGCACTCAACAACCTAAGGAAATTGCATAAAGAAACAAAGAACACTTTTCCCATGCCACTATATAAACTCCAACAAGCTTTTGTGTTTGCTATCTTAGAAGTACTATTTCTTGCCAACACCCATCAACCTTATTCCTTCAAAACCTTAACAAAACCTTAGAAAAAGAAAGATCAAATCATTACTTCTTCCTATTCCTCAAGTCCAAATGTAAAAGATCACTTGCTTTCACTTTCTTTCTCAACCATCCTTTAATGGAAACTCATCACTTCTGTCATTTCATCCTTTTCTTCTCAACATTCATATCCTCATTCGACCCGATTCTTTGTATCGATAACTCCTCGGATGCCTTTTGGCTCCTAAAAATAAAATCCAAACTCATCGACCCGTTTGGAGTTCTCAACACCTGGTCTCAAAACACTAGCATGTGTTCTTGGTATGGAGTTACATGCACAGATGACAAAACCCACGTTTTGTCACTCGATTTGCCGAATTCCGGCCTAAATGGAGTTATCTCCCCCAAAATCTCAAAGCTCATATTCCTTGAAAGTCTCGATTTATCTCAAAATCACCTCTCTGGCTCCATTCCTCCTGCTATCAGGAAGCTTCGGAACCTGCAAGCGCTTCAGCTTTTCTCAAACTTCATATCCGGCACAATCCCTCCTGAGATTGCCCTTTTGAAGAACCTGCAAATACTCAGAATAGGTAATAATACGCTCACTGGTGAGATTTTGCCGGCCATTGGGAGGAGTTTGACCGAGCTAAGAGTCTTGGGCCTTTCTTATTGCCAGTTTTATGGTAGCATTCCAAAAGAGTTTGGATATTTGACGAATCTCCAACTTTTGGACATTCAGCACAATAATATCGGTGGGCACTTACCGAAAGAGATTGGCGAATGCAGAGAGCTTGAGAAACTCAATGCAGCAAATAACATGATTATGGGGGCAATCCCAGGCTCAATCGGCGGGCTCGAATCGTTGCAGATATTGAATTTGGGAA